CTACATTTCCTGGAAAAATCCCACCAGCAAAATGGACATTGCCAATGGATTCATAGTGCATCAGTAGGTAAAGGGGTTAGGGTTAAGGTTTCCTGATAAAATACATGGGAATGTCCCTTTGGGGGGCAAACCCACTTAGGATTAGGGTTTGGTCTCCATGAATTTGGACAGTTTGAAGTAAAATGGATGTCACCAATGAATTCATAGCACATTGACATGCTTAGGTGGGCAGTGACCTTTTGAACCTGCCCTATCTTTGTTTCTTTATAAAATGCATGGAAAAATTGCATTGTTTCCTTTTAAAAGATATGCAAAAATCCCATTGGGCTGCAAACCCACTTAAAGTTAGGTTTAGGTCTCTGTGAAATCATAGAGCAAATTGGTGGTCATTATCAGATTTGAAGTGCATTCATATGCTTAGGAAGGCGCTGGGCTTTATTATACAACCCATATAGTGCACCCACATATATTGTAATATGACTATTTTATAATATCCATATACCAATTGAGATCTATGGCAGGTGTATATGGAAAATGGAAAGTATATTATGGATTTTACATTCAGCGATGTATTTGTCAATGCTGTAATGTGTGATGGAAATTGCAGCCATTTTTCCTTTGCTTTTAACATGCTTTTTCTTTTGTTTAGAAATCAGGTGTTGAAGGGGGGATGGGGTGAATACTTGCCATAATAATAATGCAGCTCCGTGGGAACTCAAGGACACAAACCGATAATGTTTTGGCGGGCTGAGGAGCTGGGGAGAGAGCCTGCACTCTGGGCTAATTGGAGAATGTGATTTATGACTGCTTTGTGGGGGTGGGACTTGCAACTTGCTACTTTGTATCTGGGGGAAGGGAATCTAGTTTTGGGTTCAACTATGTAGTGCCGATACTTTGTTTCCTGAATAAAATGTTCTCTAAGGAAGAATTCTTGCTTTAAAGTTCTTTAATGGGTTTCATCTATCGGAACCATGTCAGTATTATTGTGATAGTGAGCCTAAACAAGTTTTGTTGGACCCCACATGTTGTTAGGATCAGATTGATGACAGTGTTAGTTCTGTGTTGTCCTTGGTGGCCAGCATGATGCCATTGGTGATTTTACCAATTTGGTAATGAAATGTCTTTAAGAAAACCATCAAGCTCAGAAAGCACAAAGAACCACACAGTTCAACTCCAAATATCCGCTTCTATCAGTGTTAGTTCTGCTGCAGAACTTCAAAAATGGTAGTGAACAAAGTAACCTATTATCCAGAGCAAGGATAACACACTATGTGATGCTAGTTAACTAGTCTGCTTCCCAAATTTGTCAACCATTCAGACCACCATTTGTCTGAAATGGTATAGGGTTTTCTGTCTGAGCAGGGGGTTGGACTAGAAGATCTCCAAGATCCCTTTCAACTCTGTTATTCTATTCTATTCTATTCTATTCTATTCTAAATTTTCCTTATCCACTGGCAAAAACAGCTGGGAGATCAAATTTAAAAAGTTGATATATTAATCTTTACTCTGGTTCCAATTATTTTAATGAACCAAATGTTATCTGTAGCTAGTTTTATCAATATATGAGTACAGTGAAATGGTTTCATCTGTACTTGGGATGTCTGTGCAAAATCAGTAATAAAAGAGCCATGGTGGCGCAGTGGTTAGAATACAGTACCGCCGGCTAATTCTGCCGACTGTCAGCAGTTCAATCCTGACCAGCTCAATGTTGATTCGGCCTCCCATCCTTCCGAGGTGAGTAAAATGAGGGCCCAGATTGTTGGGGTCAATATGCTGACTCTGTTAACTGCTTAGAGAGGTCTGTAAAGCACTATGAAATGGTATATAAGTCTAAATGCTATTATTATTGCTAAAAGGGGATAATCACCAAAACCAAGGTAAAGAATCTGAGAGTCAAATTCGTGACTATTGTGATAATATTCTAATAATGCATTCATTGGAAGGTAGATAATGAACTTTAGTAATATAGACTCTAATATCTCTTGTGGTATAAATATTATACACTGATCATAAAAACTTTAAATAGGTATAAATCTTGGGTTCCTGCTGAATGCTGAACTTAGTTTCCTTCTTACAAGTCACCTTTCAAAGTAGTTAATACTGCCAGTACATTGGTACTAAGGGATGGGGCTTGCTGGTTTGTTATGTGTGATGGCTTATCTTACCTACTTTGGTAAGAATTGTTGCAGTTTAGATACCTGCTTCTGATTGGCCTACCTGGCTTGGTTGGCTGTATTGTTTCCTCTTAGATTGTTCCTGGCTATTATTTTGGTTTTCCTTTATCTACATGTTTATTACTGGTTGTGTGATAAGGAAGATGTGGTCTATGCAACTATTCATGAATGCTGCCCTGATATCTGTAAAGAAACCAATGTATTTGCACTGGTCTTGGCAAAAAACAGGTCTATTCTAACCCTTGTTTAAATAACATAAAAAGTAGAGGCAGCCCACTATGATAATCTCTACCCCAAATGCCATCAAAATGAGTACAAATTACAAGAGATGACCTTGTTATATCAGCCACTCATCTAGCTTACATAAAATATGCAATGTTCCATTCCATTCCTAGCAATACAAATGGTATCAAACATTCAGTTTCAACAAAATGTGAATTCCAGAATATGGGCACTTGGGACCTTTGTCATTTTTATGACTTCAGATTAAGCTATGCAAAAGTAAAGAGAACACTTTCAATGAAGCCTTTGTATAGTTTATTGTCTACTGTTAAATGTATATAAAAAAGAAAAATGAATAAATGAGGGACATTAAATGATGAGATTCTGTCCGAGCAAACAATAAATAGTTATTTACAGTCTTCAGCAAAATGAAATGTAAGTCTTATTGATCTTCTCATGCACATAGACACACATACACAAACTCCCTTACTCACATACAAGCACACCACACACAAAGGAAAAGGAGACCATCATAAATAATTTACATGGCATAGGCAATTATGATACAATCAAAATATTAACATCTTAGTCCCAGCACTGATGCCTTTTTTTATTTAAAAGATACAAAAACATTATTACATTAATGAAGTTTCCCTCAATAATTCTTCTCTGGGACTTAACAGCCATACTTTCAATGCATTAAAATATGATTTGCAAGAGACATCCTCAACAAACCTCATTTAAAAAAAAACATGTAAATGCCTATTAATATGACAAAACAAAGAATGTGCAATAAAACCAGAAACCCCAGATTCTTGATAACATCAAAATCCATTTAAAAATGTATTCAAAGCAGAGGAATGAAATGTGGCTTTCTCTATCACATCCTTCAAACAATTCAAGAGAGGATCCTTGAACAGCCATTGGGTTAGGGAAACAACAGAGACACACACCCTTTCATCCCCCAGTGGCTGCTTTACACATTTTGATAGGAAAATGACAGGTTCACATCTACAAAGTTGCTGCGACCAATCATGGCTGCAGGCAAACTTGTGGATGACCTGAATCTTACTGTTCTGTTGTTTGAAGGACTTCCTTTTTATGCCTTTGTCTGGATATGAAACTCCGAGTAATTCCCAGCCTGATCTAGCAGGGTTGGTTAGGGTTGATTAAGCCTGATCTTATAGACTTTGGTGTGCAAAAATGAACAAGGACATTAAACATTTGAATTCTTACTTAGCAGAAGTTGTTCCTGGAGGTGGCATCTACCAGCTATACATGTGATCGTCTAAGGTCCACACATTCACATGTCTACCAACACTCTTTTGGATAACATAATGGCATTCTGAATTGAGACAGAAGTGCTTATGTTTTTCCTATATTTAAACCTCATCCATGAATCAAACCATACCAATAAGTATATCTTCCAGAGAAAGCTTGTTCAGTTTAAAATAACAAAAAATGATAAATATGAGAGTACTAAGACTCTAGCTGAATAACTGGTTGTATCTGGTTAGACTAAAGGGGCCGATGGACTTTTAGTACAGTTTTCTTGAAACGATCTATACACAACACACATACAATAAAAATTACAAGCATTGAGGACAACGGTAAATATTAAGGTTCCATTTTCAAGGTCTCAATGGTTATTTGATTGTTTGACAGTTCAGAGTAGTTAAAAATTGTATGTATGAGCAAGTACATCCATATTTTCTCATTATATCATTAAAAGCATTTGGTAGCCATCTTCTTTGAGACCTTTCATTGTTAATGGACTTTCCAGTGAGTTTTGAATTAACTTATTGGAGAATGTAGCTGTACACCACAATAATAAATAACATCACTATCCTCATATTTGGAACTATGTTACTAGATCTTGATAATAGTTGCATTCCTATCTTATCAGCATTTTGAAATCAAAGTGCTAGCATGTAGAAGAGGTGGGAAAGCGGTTTGTGAGATGTGGCCACAAACTATTTTCACAGGAGCTTCATGCACATAAGCAGTTAGCCTTGAAAACTTGCTTTCCTTCACGTAAATATAGGTATGTGATGGGCAATGCCTGTGTGATGTCACTGCATGCAATTCTTGCAAAGGCATACTTATCATTTAAAACTCAGTTGGAATATTAATGTAATTATGTTCTCCTCCTAAAATATTGGGCTGGCTCAACTTCAACTCATGAGAACTGTGTTAAAAATTCTGAAATAACCAACATTCTTATGAATTTGCTTTGGTATAAACTGTAATTTCTTCCATGGAACCCAGCTGAAATGTTAAATATTGATTATAAAAGAGGACTTGCTTTAATGCAAAACTCCAAGCAGATTGCTGATCTAAAAAGATGATAGGAAATCATTAGCACTTGAACATCACTGTATCATCTTCTCTACTTAAATTCCCACAGCTTCTCTCTGGGCAAAGTTTGTAAAGGTTGTCGTTCTGCTACAGTATATTTTTGGGACTTTGTGACAGCAAAGTCCACCTCTCATCTGAACAAGTAACAAGGGTTTAAGTGGTGATCTTATCTCTAACCATTTCCTTCTGCTTGCTATGTTGTCTGCTCCTCCAAATCTTATTTCTGCCATATTTATATCTATATAATACATAATATAATTACACTTTTACATTTTATATGTAAACGTCATTTTAAAAAAAACCTAAAACAAATTAACAAATATTTATGCCATGTTTTCAATCCACATGTCAATCTTTTTCTGCATCAGCAATGAGTTCAATGATCACATTTAATCCAAACTCCTTGGAGGCACTTAGGTGTAGGGTTGGAGAGATCCCTCCTGGCAACCGGGTTGTCAAGGAAAGGTAGAAAAAATAAGGGATTTGAAGTATTAGGATGTATAGAGGTGTCTAGGTTGAACGGCATCTACAGTACATTGCTTTTCACACAGCTGCAATAATTCAGGCATCTGCATCAGAAACAAACCATCGGTTAGTACAATCGCCACATTTGGACTATAGTACAGGTAATCTATGGATTAAAGCTAAATTAACAGATATTAATCTCATTTATTTCAATGGATCTAAAGTTCTACATAGATAATTGGAGTCTTATTAATTTCGTTGAGGGTACCCTAAAAAGTACAAAATTTGGGTCACAAATTTTAAACACTGTAGTTCAGAAATATGAGATGTTTTGCAAACTTTTTTTGCCTCAGCATCTTCCAAAGGAGAGTTGGAGAACAAATAATCAGAATACAATACAATATACTGAGTGAAAAAAACAAATTACATATCAAGTGCATCAATAGATTAATATTTATCACATCTGCATCCTGAGTTTCTGTCCAGGACACCTTGCATAAGTTTTCCTCTCAACAAACTTGTAATATAGATTAAGTTAATCTTGCCCAAGTCCTGTTAAATGTAATGGCTTTGGGGAGATTTAAACAAGGTTTCCCAAATCTATTACTCTATATCTATGCCTATCTAATGTAATATCTTCCAGATTTGTTGGATTGCAATTTTCATAATTTTTAGGCAGCATGGTCCTCAATACTATCAGTCTTGCAGTTTATATTTTTTGAAGCACTTTGCTGCAAGTGATTTAAAAACACATTTAACTTTAATCGACATCTGCACAATAATGTATCACACATCGTGATGTCTTCTGAAAAGCAGGCAAAAGCTATTTACACTAGGAATAATTTCCCCCTCTATCCCTAGTCTGATGCATATATCTTATCTAATAGTATTTAGTACATAGGAATGTATGCTATAATACATAACTACGTCTGCCAGTTATTACATTATATATATATATATCTTAAGTATTTTATTCACAATTATATTCCACTGATTTTAACCCATGTAGCCTATTAACTCCTTAGAAGGTTTTGAATAGCAAAAAGCATCATCTCCTGCATTATGGGCAGTCAGTAGGAATTACAAGCAAAATCAGAATTAATGTTCAGTTGGAAAATTGACACAGAAATGCATAATCATTGTTGACCACAAATTAGGCAAACATGTCCCTGCAAAAGAGTCATGACAAATCTAGCAGTAAGGAATTCACATCAACTGCTTTACTGAACATGGAGGAGGGTCTCAAAATGTATATTTAGAAACCAAATAATAAGCATGTATATAAAAAGCAGACAATTTGGCATTCTTCCTTTATATCCCCTCTTCATGCTGTATATTTCCAGAAAATGTCTAAGGAAATTGAAAGGTTTGGAAACATATAATTATGATTGCAGTAATAATCTTAAGTTTCAATTTACCTTTACATTCATATTTGAGGTCAGAGAAGTATACCATCTCTTGTGAAAAGACAAAAAGACCTAATCGTCCACCAGCAAAAGTTGTATCATAAATTGGTCCAGAATCTGCCATGATCTGTTTTCCTTCATAGACTACAACCCTGTAAGGGAAAAACATGGTCTAATTGAGATGCAATCTTTGAGATGATAATTCATCTTTTTAGAAAGAATGTGCAAAATGTTTTGAATTGAAAACATCCCATTCAAAACAGGGCCATTTCAAACTTGGAAAACTTCTAGTATGGTCAGAATCCTTTTTAATAACATTGGGGACAATCCAACTTTTTCAGAAAAAGGTGTGGAATATAGAAGACAACAGTTTGAGCATGAAATATTTTGAAATCAACATGCTTTGCATATCATGGCTATCTAGCAATTTTATTTGTTTATTTAAACATATTATTTCTTCTTAGCCTTAATTACAATAACAGTTAAATTATATAAAGATATTGTATTTTATAGTAAAGAAACGCGTGGCAAGCATTAGACACACTGAATTAACAACTAATTCCAATTAATTAATTGATTTTAACAGAATGTAAGGATGAGAAATATCTTTCATCTGGCAGATGTAATGAATGTGCACTACATAATTATATATCAGACCCTATACAGTGTGTGTGCAGCTTCTGCAAATGACTATTTTTTAAAAAAATATGAATTACACATTCATAAAAATATAAATACTTAAACAACATTCAAGGACAGTGTCTGGACTGAAACTTTTTAAAACTGTGCCATAGATAGTGTCCATCTGTGTATAAAGGTGGGTCAGGACAGGATAAACCAAAATAGTAATCCAATAGATTACACACATTTTTAACAGATTACTTTTTACTTTTCAGTGGGAACAAGATTTGCAAAATTTGGGGGTGGGGTGGGACACAAAGCCCAGAAATCATAGAGATACACTAATTTACACAATAATCCAGGAGGTAAATTCATGTCATAATTTGCAAAGATTGAATTCTTTACATATCTGAAGGCCCAAGGAATTCCCACATATCTTAAACAAATACACGGGACAATAATTCATGTGGCATAAATGGCATGAAAAATTGAACTGGTAGAGGGGGACATGGGCAAACAAAAAGGAGAAATGCAGTAACAATTCCCAAGGGAATTATTAGTAATAATAAGTAATATTACACTCGTGGGAATATATCTGCCATAATATAGAACTTTTTTACAATTATATTTTATTAAAAAATTTTCTGAATAAATGTTCTCCAGATGACCTGATTATTTTAAAAAAAGCTATTTAAAGTTGCCTTAGTTATATTAATTTTAATTTTAAGAAAAAGGAGCCATCTTTTCTTTCAATCCCTTTTTACTTTAATCATTTTTCTTTCCTTCTGACCTTCTAGCCAGAACCAGATTATTTCATAGTAAACCATAACTTTCTAAGAGCTGGAGGAAAGTTATTTCTTTTAAATAATGTAATAATATTTTGCCTTTGTTTATATATGCCATTCAGAATAAATTGAACATATCTGATGAGATGGAAAAGTGAGAAAACAAGAATTCAGAATCCCCCGAAGGCTTCAACTATAAAAAGATACAGGCTGCCCTCAATGAAGTGATAGTTTTGGCATTTGCTTACAAAGGATTATAAAATGCTATTTATGATCAGATAGAAAAGGAATAGCATACATCAGAAAAAATGTCATACTTTATTAATCCTGTCTTAGGTCTGTGGATCAAATGCCACCTGTAGGCAGTGTAATCTTTCCAGCCAATATTTTTGGGATCATGCCACAAGGTACGCACCTGTAACAAAGATAAAACACATAGGCATACTTTGGGAGAAAAAAGCCTTACATATAACATGCTATTGCTAACTGACCAACTTTTTATGGTATCTAAACTTTGATTAAGGAGTGAGTTACATCAGGAATAAGGAATTGCGCATGCATACATGAAGTTGGCTTTTATCCACTCAGTACACTCTACTCACGAGTAATACATTACAACTCATACCACCATCCTTAAATACATGCAAGGGTTTCATGTAGAAAGTCAAGTCCCCTCCTCTTTTATTCCAGAGTGCAGGATATAAAATGATTCATATAAATAATGGGAAACAGATTCCAGCTGAATGTTAGAAAATAAAAACTTTTCACTTCCGGTTTGCCATTGCAGCTATCACAGCCACTGAAAGGTGAGCTCCATCTTCCCATTCAGTTTCGCTCCACTGGAGGATCCCAGAAAGGGTCGAAAGTTGCCCTGTAGGGGCGATGAACAAGGAGAGGACCTTTGCTTCATCGCAGGAAGGCAGCAGCCCTTCCGCTCAATCTGGAGCATCCCTCCAAACCGGTGGAGGAAAGACTGGCCATAATAATATGGCCTGTCAGTAGGCTGCAGACAGCCGAAGTCAAACTTACCACCAAGCACTTCGAAAGCAACACGGATGAAACTGGGTGAGATCTGATCTTCTCTTTACCCTAAGTATTTTCTTTTCCTGTAAAAGCTGCAACTGACTTCCCAGGAGAATTAAAGCTCTAAAAGAACAACTTTAATCCAATTGGATTTATATGTTCCTGAAACTTGGGGACCAAAAATGTTCCTATTTTTATTGGAGACTTTTGCTTTTATCTACAAAAAAGAAATAAAATTGGAAAAAGGATTATAAAAATGTTGGACTTAAAAAATCTTAAACAGCATCAGTGACATTTTGTGGCGAAGTTTGGTATTACAACATGTTATTTCCTAAAAGAGACTTGGCTCGAAGCCCAGACCTTAGATAAGACTCTTCTGACCTTGGCACCACCTGTGAAAAACTCAGCTGTAAGAGAACAGCTGGGCGGCATAACTGGTCTACTTGAACTGTGAATGTAAACCTTTATTGACTTTCAGAGTTATAGGTGGGGAATTGCCTTCCTATCTCTTTATTTGAGGACTATTGGTTACTATATGAGATGATGAAATACCTTGGACTATAAAATCTTGCTTGACAAATGACTTCTACTATAAAGACTATTTATAAACACATGAAAGGCTAGTTGGCAAAGAAAGAAAGTCAGAATAAGGCTGAAGAAAATTGGGGTTTTGATTTATTGGAGGGGATTTCATATTATTAATTAGAGGGTTAAAGGGAGAAGTTGAGATAAGGGGAATTCTAGTCATTAGATTTAAAATATTTGAAAATTAGTTGAAAATTAGTTGAAAATAAGGATTTAGTTGAAAATAAGGATTTAATTAGACCTAAAAAATAATTATTATGAATATGTTTGATTTATTGATTAACCCAGGCAATTTATACAATGGTTTTGATTTATTAAACCCCTATAACATAATAATTCATCTACTAAATTATACCATCCTTTATCTATTGTAAATCCTTTATCTTGTCCTAATATAAGTTTATCTATTTTACACATAAAACCTATAATCTAAGACAATATTTAACTCTATTCCCTTTAGAATAGAGTGGATTCGGACTTTTGATATTTATAGTTTCCAATTTAACCTTATAATTACCAAAACTAAAAATTGGGAAAAAATTAATAACAGAATATGGATTGTTTATGAAGACTGAATGTAAAAAATAATTAAGATACGTATAAGCTAAAAATTTATTGATAATTGTAATAATGATGTTTTTACTGAGTTGATTTAATAAGAACTGTATTAGCTTAAATACAAGACAGTAAATGTTAAGGGAAAAAGAGAGGAAATAATTGATGTTATAACTTGAGATTTGTACTAAAGATTTTGTTATCGAACTATTGATTAACCCAGCCACCACGTTGCTTTTTAAATATTTAAATGTAAAATTGGAAAATCAATAAAATATTATATAAAAAAAGAAAATAAAAACTTTCACACTAAGGTAGTTTGGTAATAGAACCAGTTCTGCAGGAAGATAATGGGCATCCCTGAACTATATGTATTCAATTGGAAGGTAGACAACCATTAGCTAGGGATGCTTTAATTTGAATTCCTGACCTCAACTGGAAGTTGCACCTGATGGTCTCAAGGGTCCTTTCCAACACTGTAATTCTATAGACCTGTTATTCTATGTCTCTTGGAGTTTTTTTTATCCTTCTGATACTATGACTTAGGCAGAGGTTGCTATGGCAGAAAAAGGATGACAGAAGGAACTGATAGGAGGAGCTGTAAGAGGGGACTAGCACAGCAGGTATATTCCATAGTACTTAGTTCTGTGTAGAGCAATTGGCTGTGATTCGCTGATACGAGGGGACTGAGTACTGAGTAACTGACTGTAATTGAGATAAAAACTAAACCTGGGCCTAGTTTGGGTCTAGCAAACCAAATATACCTTAGTTGGGCTATGCAAACGTTCAAAAAGGATACTGATTCGTTAGAGCTTTAAGTTAAGCATCCCTTAGAAAGTGACATGGAAAAGTAACCCTCCATTTTTGCTCAGCAAAGAAGCCACACCATTCGGACTGATAGCAAGGATTTCTGTACATTCTGTACATGGCATTAGCAAAAGAGCTGCTCAAAACAAAGAGAGCTCACCTCAATGCTTTGTTAAAGAGAAACAACTCTCCTCCCTAAGCTGCCACCAATCTGCCCAGATCTAACATCTGGAGCCATTAATAATGAAACCTGAGCAATAAATTATTATCATCCTGAACCAAATTGACAGTATTTTCAGCACTTTCCTGCTTAAACCTACATGAAAAGTTAGTCTTGACGTGTGTGCTATACCCTGACTTTTCAGTTATGTTTTTAAACCCTGAGGCCACTTATAATTAAAATAGACACGAGGCAGGTTAGAATGAACATATATTGGTGAGGGGACTTTTCAACTACTTACCTGTCCAAGCGTATTTCCTGTGTGCCAAAGAGCATTTCTCAAAT